ACGCTGATATATAGAATGTTACTGATTTTGTAACATAATTTTTTAACTGGCCATTCTGATATTTATTCTTGTTAGTTCTGATAACCTTCAGTTAAAGCACTTGGGTTTTCAACATGAAGTACTATATTTCTTCTTTCCAAATAGTCTTTTCCTTAAAGAAAAGTCTCTAAACTGTGAAATCTTTAGAAAAATTTGCATCTATACCAGTCAAATTGAATTTGAAAGCATGAAAGTGCTATTAATTTATTTTGAAATAGGTCCTCTGATAATAAATTGTCTCTAACTGAAATAAAGTGATTTCTTTTTTATGTGTATACATATTTTCTATATCATATTGTTGAAAAGTAGTTTCAAAGGCAACTTAAGTATTTTTTTGTTAACTCTAGGAATAAGAAAGCTGGATTTTTAAATTTTTATTGTAGAGATGCGGTCTCACCAAGTTGTCCAGGCTGGTCTCAAACCCCTGAGCGTAGGCAATTATCTTGCTTCGACCTCCCAAAGTGCCTGGATTACAGGCTTGAGCCACTGGGCCCGGCCTGCAGTTATTATTTTTCGACTGGTTATTTCAAGGTAGGGCAAACTAAAATAGCAATTGGAGTGGGACAAAAAGAAAAGAACTGGCATGACTGGAGAAGAAAATATGGTTTTGCTTGATGAATGAGTCAAGGGATTATGACAGTAGACATTTGTAATGGAAGCAATAAAATGACAAGGTAAAGAGTAGACTATTCCTTTAGACTGATAAAAAATCAAGGTAAGCCTTCAGCATTAAGAAGTTCTTGGTATAGCAATCACGGCATTGAGTTCAGAGAAGAATTCATGATTGGGACTCTAGCTCCTCAGAGGTGGGCTAGCATGAAAAAAGCCAAGGTGCTGTTCAAAGAAGCAGTGAGATGCTGAGCCATTACCAGTAATATGGATTCAAAACTGAAGAAACCAGAAGCCCAGTCATAGACACGGCTATTTAGTGGACATAGAAATTCAGGAGTGAGGTAAGAGTCAACTTTTTGATCGGGCGGAACATAGTGTGCAGCTCTTCAAAGGCTTAACTATTTTCTACAAGTCACAAGGTTGAGAATGAATGGTGGACCTGAGAATGGGGGTGGGAATGGGGTTGAGAACTTACCCAGCTACAGGAAGATCTGGTTGTAGAATGCAAAATGGTGAATCCACAAACCAGGGTTTCTCAGTAAGACCACCTGACCCAATATCCTCTTTTGCAGGCAAGAAAACTTAGACACTCAATAGACCTTTGCTAATTAAAAAAAAAGTTTATCATTTGTAATATATTTTCAAATACATTATCAAGAATTACTTAGATTTTACAACATTTGTTTTGCCATTAATAGTAATCACATGTTAAAATTTGTCTATCAAAAAATTTATGTATCATAAACTTTTTTAGTTATTCATTATTAGAAAAAGTCTTGGCCAGGCTCGGTGACTCAGCCTGTAATTCCAGCACTTTGGGAGGTCGAGGCGAGTGGATAGCCTGGGCACGCAGGTTTGAGACCCACCCGGGCAACTTGGCAAGACCTCGTCTCTACAATAAAATAAAAAACTAGCCAGGCATGGTGGCACGCACCTGTAGCTCCGGCTACGTGGAAGGCTGAGGTGGAAGGATCACTGGAACCCAGCAGGTCGAGGCTGTGGCGGCCGGGAGTGGCCACTACACTCCAGTCTGGGTGACAGAGTGAGACTCCAACTCAAAAAGAAAAAGAAAAAAAAAAGTCTTTATTTTGCACCTATAGATGAATCATATTTTTTCAATATACAGGATTCTATATTACTATATTGTGTTTTCTATAGTATTATGAATGAAAGGTTTGATACCCCTTACTTTACAGGTAAACAGTATTTCATAAAAAAAAGAACTTTTATTTTATTTGTCTTTGAAAATTGAAACTTACACTAGGATAGATCCAAATATTTGTATTTTAAGATAAAGTGTTCTTACCTTATTTTTTAATTTTATTTAGAGTTCTTCTGCTCCTATTCCTCCATCTGGAATTTCTATAATGTGGATAATGCACCTCCTGTACTTCTTTCACGGTGTCTCTTTACTCTTTTGTTCTGTTGAGAAGAATTTCTTGATCCCGTTTTCTTTTTTTAATTGTTTTTTATTTTAAAGATATGGGTTACAACTCAGGGTTAGGTATACAAATATTCATTATGCAAGTACCCTTGTTGATGTGGTGTGACCCCGTCCCTGGCAGTTTCCCACTACTGCCAATTCCTTTCTTATAGTATTACAATAGTTCTTCAAAGTCTGCTTATGAGTGAGAACATGTGATACTTGGTCCTTTGTTTCTGTGATAGATTACTCAGTATGATAGATTCTAAGTCCATCCAAGATGCTGTGAAATTCATAATTTTGCCCTTCTTTATAGCTGCATAATATTCCATTGTGTATATGTACCACATTTTTTTATCCAGTTCTCTTCCGATGGACAGCATGGTTGATTCCCTCTTTTGCTATTATAAATAATACTGCAATAAATATGCATGTGCAGGTATCTTTTTCATAGAGTGATTTGAGTTTCTACAGCTGTATTTCCAGTAGGGAGATTGCAGGGTCATAAGAGAAGTCGATTTTTAGATCTTTTAGGAATCACCTCACAGTTTTCCATAGAGGCTATACTAGTTTACACTTCCACCAACAGTGTCCAGTTTTCTTATCATTAATCAGTTTTAAACTGTATGTATTCTCCTCATCCAGTACCTGTTTTGATTTTATATCGTAGCAATTGCATCTTTTCTTTTTGAGACCATATTGAGGTTCACAGAGGGTTCCTTTTTTCATGAGAGCCTTCTCTTTCAATCAGAGCAATGCTACATCCACTTTCGTAGATGATATGAATTATTATTATTATTATTATTATTATTATTTATTTATTATTTTTTTTTTTTTAGTTGGAGTCTCACTCTGTTGCCCAGACTGGAGTGCAGTGGCCGCTCCCGGCCACTGCAGCCTCGCCTACTGGGCTCCGGCGATCCTTCCGCCTCAGCCTTCCGAGTAGCCAGAATTACAGGCGTGCGCTACCATGCCCGGCTAGTTTTTTGATTTATTGTAGAGATGAGGTCTCACTGCCCAGGTGGGTCTCGAGCCACCGAGCCTGGCTGAATTATAAATTCTTAAATAGCTGCCCTAGTCCCAATATAATCTATTTTTAAATTTGACACATTTATCCTGTTTGCTTAGTTTAGGCTTTTTTGAACTATTGATTTACCACTTATGCCCAAGTACATATTTGTGCATTTCTTTGGCCTGTCTTCTCATAATGTTATTAACAGCCTGAATTACTGACCCCTAATTGAGGAAGTACCACTGTGTTAGATTGGTTTAGCTACCCATTATTGTACCAGTGAACTAAGACTAGTAGGGAGATAATCTATTAGAAATGGTTACTGACACAAGTGCCAGGAGCCGCAATCACTAGTAAAAGTAAGGTAAAAGGGACACGAAAACAGGAAAAACGCCGGCTGGGAGCAAGTCCCCAGTAAAATGTGGCCATGACGGAGGCAAAGCCCCATGGATCCTGTTGATGGACCTTCCCTAACTTTGAAGGATTGTGTGCATAGGCTTGAGAATATTCTCTCTTTAGTTGAGATAATAGATGTGCAAATGGATGATGGCATTTGACAGCAAAAATTATACATAGGCATAATGGAGGTGAGATTGCAGCAAAAAGGGTGCCCCTTAGAATGTGCAGGGATGTGGAATTAGCAATAGACCTATGTATAAAAATGTAAAAAGGGCTCAACAGCAAAAAATTTCTCCCCTGAAGGGACAAGGGAATGCAAATTTTGAAACCTTTAGCTAAAAAGAAAAAACAAGTACTTCCTCATATCCTTTATAAGTAACAACATTGACAGTTGTGATTGATGAGGAAGTGGGAAACTGAGACAGAGTATCTCCACAAACAGGTGTTTTGGGAAAAACAAGTCACAGACATGCCTTTTGATTTAAGAAATATTATAGTTTAATTAGAGGGTTAAAATTAAAGTAAGGATTAGATAAATAGCAGTTATAATTAAAAGATAAATGTTTATTATAGATGTAGGTATTAGTTAAATAGAAGGAATAGGAAATAATTAAATTTTAAGGTAAACTTAAAATTATATATACTTAATGTAGGTTTAAAATTAAATACATTTAGGATTAGAAGTAAGATTAATTTCATATATAAGTGTAGATTTAGACATAAGGTTTGTTTAGAAATATAAAATGTAAAATGGGTAGAATTAAGAAAATAGATTAGTAAAAGAAAAGAAATAGAATAGTGAAGGGAAGAGATTCAGTTGGCCTAAAGGTCACAGGATGTGGCTGATAAATTGGCAGCTGGTATTTTGTTACACCACTGGTAGCAGGAAGGAACAAAATGAAACTTGTAAAGGTCAACTTCCCCATAAACAAAAGAAAAAACATGATGTAAACATTTAATGTGTAACATTTGTGGGTAGGGGGGTCAGTAAAAAACTATATAAGCTTGTAAGAGTTGAATAAAAACTGGCAGAGTCTTGAACTCTCCCCAGGAAGAAGGATCCTGTCGTGTTCGTCTTTTCTTTTCGCCGCTTCCTGATTCCCCTGTCTCAAGCCCTGACTCTCTCCTGGAGCTGGACTCCAGCACACAAGTATACGTGTTGAATTTGTATCATATTTTACAAATATTGAAGATAGCACAGGTCATTTGTTCATTCTTCTATTTATTCATTTGTTAATTAGTATTAAGTATCTCTTTTATGCTATGTGGCATTTAAATTACTAGAGACACATCAGTGAACAAAACATATAATGACTCATCTCATGAAACATTCTAAGGGAGGGAGAGAGGAAATACAGAAAGAAAGAAATCAGTAAAATACATCAGATGATAAGTACTATAAAAAAGTAAGAGGGAGAAATAAAAATTTTCATCAGAGAAGAGAATCTTCTGAATTTGAGTATTTACACAAGGTATTATAGACCATTGATGCTTGAAAGAAAGTTTGAGCCTGGAGACTAGAGTCGAAGGCCGAGAGCTGGTCATAATGACAGATGAAGAAATTAATAAAGACTATCCTGTAGAAATTCATGAGTATTTATCAACATTTGAGAATTCCACTGGTGCTATGGATGAGATGTTGAAGACCATGATGTCTGTTTCTAGAAATGAGTTGCTGCAGAAGTTGGACCCACTTGAGCAAGCAAAAGTGGACTTGGTTTCTGCATATACATTAAATTCAATGTTTTGTGTTTATTTGGCAACTCAAGGAGTTAATCCCAAGGAACATCCAGTAAAGCAGGAGTTGGAAAGAATTAGAGTATATATGAACAGAGTCAAGGAAATAACAGACAAGAAAAAGCCTGGCAAGCTGGACAGAGGTACAGCTTCAAGATTTGTAAAAAAGTGCCCTTTAAGAGTCAAAACCTAAAAATGCATCAAAAGTTGCCAATAAAGGAAAAAGTAAAAAAGGAACTTTTTGGTTCTGATGTACATATATTGAAAAGTTCATCTTCTTTTTATTTGTTTTCACAAAATAGATAATTATGTGGCAATGCAAGGTTTAAATGTATTCCTTATTGAATTCATGTGCAAATTTACAGTTTAAATTTGTAATGATAGATACTTTTTTCCTTCAGAAAAATTGTTATCTTTATTGATTTTCCTATAGAGCACCATGAGGTTTTAAACATTGTGATATATTTTATATTTATAGTTTACTATCTCTTTTGATGAGACTTACTTCCTTATATAGGTCAATCTCACCAATACCATTTTATAAGTACTGTGAAATACAAGTTAAATGCTTTTTTGTAAATATTTGTACTATTTTAAATGAATAATGACCTTATGAAAGATGCTATCTGTAGGTTAAAGTTTTAAGTGCATCTGTTTTCACTATATTCAGAAATTAAGAAAGAATGAAATGACTTAAACATCTAATTTGTGTGTGTGTGTGCGTGTGTGTGTGTGTCATGTTTTCATGGTTTTAGGAATTACTGCTTTTTTGGTATTCAAAGTATGAAATTAAAACTTTACAGTTGTACTTTAATTCTTGACATATTGCCTCTCTGTCCCACTTAAAATAATATGCATTCTCATTAACTTTAAATGGGAAATAAGGTTGTATGTTGAAGATGAATTTTAATATACTCTCAATTAAGGCTGTAAATGTCAAAAAAAAGTTCGAAAGAAGAAAGTGAGTAGTAGTACATATCTTAAGGAAGAGCTTTGCAGGGTCTAAGAGTAGCATGTGCAACATATTTGACTGGAAGCGTCTTTGGCCTCTTAAGGAATAGCAAAGAGGTGGCAGTGTGCAATAGATGAGGAAATGAGTTAGAGGGCAGGAGCTAGTTTACTGAGCCAATATCATGACTTTGGTTTAGAATCTTTTAAGGATTTAAAGATGTCATTGAAAAAATTGGGGCATTGGAATTACATTATCTGACTTACAATGTAAAAAGAACCATGCAAAAATGCTTTAACAAAAAAGGGGGCAAGAGAGAAAGAATAGAAACAGAGAAAGTTGTTTGCATTTCCCACAATCTTCTCAACTAGAGATGATAGAGATATACTGAGGAGGTGGTGGGAAAGGTGTAAAAATTGGTCAGAGTCTGAATCTATTTTAAAGGTAAAGGTGTCACTTCTTATATGCATGCCATTAGACAAATAATCACATAGATGTCCAATATGGAATCTAAGTTGTTACTAGAAGTGAAAGAAATGGGGGGTCAAAAGTGAGTAGAAATAAGAGAATATTCTAAGCTCATGCTGATGAACTTGATCTAATGATGATATTCTGATATATAAAATAATGAATTCCTGTTGTCTTAGCTATAGCATACCTTGAAATATAGCCTTGCTTGCAGATGACTTAATTGGGAATATACTCTTATGGAACATGAATAAGGAATTGAATGATAGGGAAGAAAGGAAAATCAATAAAGGAATAGATTACTAAGTTGGGCTCTGCTATAATAGAGCTCTTCAATTCTTCAATTCCGGTGGAATCTTTTGAAGAATGTCAAAAAATGCATTTCAGAACTTTTACCCCAAAAAGTTGAAAAAGAAAAGCATGTATGCATCTGCTCCCATATCTTATTGATGAAGGATGCTTCCACAGATGTATCTTTCTGTTTGTGAGGTAATGAGTGCTAAGTGTGTTTTAGTGAAAGACCTAGGCTGCATCATCAGAAAAGCAAGGAAACAAACGGCATGCAGTATTGGACTGAAGCAAAGTGCTCATCAGCATGAAGGTTGCCTCAGCCCATGTTGCCATTGCCATAACAGAACCTGGAGCAGGAAGTAGAACCATGGGAAGTTTGAAGTGTGTGCAAGGAGTGCTGATACAATTCAGCTCATAACAACATTCGATCTACTTGTCCTCATCAGTGGGACAGTTCAATCCTAGAGTAACTTTCAAGGTGTTATCATCTGGAAACTGTTAGAATTTAATCAAGAAGGGTTAGTGGAAAAAGCTGCCTCGTGCCAGCAACAGGTTTTTGAGACCATAATAAATTTTTTATCTCCTTCTAATACTGCTTCATTTAAGCCATTCACACTGCCAAAGGAAAACACCACAGGCTGGGAAATTTACTAATAATAGAAACTTATTTCTCACAGTTCTGGAAGCCAGGAAGGCTAAGATCAAGGTGCTGGCAGATTTGCTGTCTAGTGAGGACTCATTTTCTGATTCCAAGATGTCACATTGTTGCTGTATCCTGACATGATGGATGAGCAAAAGGGACTAAGACATTCCTTTCAACTTCTTTGACAAGAGCAGTAATTCCATTTATGAAGGTAGAGTACATCCATTCAAGCCACAGCACCACTTATCCTAGATTTCCTTAATTCTCAGGTTGTTGCAATTTACTTATAAAGTGAGCCAAACCCAGTAGTGGGAATCTGTCTGGGGAAGGGGGGGTACACCTCATCAACAAGGGTACTTGCATAGTGAACATTTATATACCTCACCCTGAATTGTTCCCCACATCATTAAAATAAAAAATTAAGAGTCCGGGCTCGGTGGCTCAGCCTGTAATCCCAGCACTTTGGGAGGCCTAGGCAAGTAGATTGCCTGAGCCCATGGGTTCAAGAACCACCCACGGAACTTGGTGAGACCTCATCTCTACAATAAATAAATAAAAATTAGCCAGGCGTGGTAGTGCTTGCTTATAGTTCCGGCTACTTGGAAGGCTGAGGCAGAAGGATCGCCGGAGCCCAGCAGGTTGAGACTGCTATGGCCGGGAGCGTGCCACTACATTCCAGTCTGGGTGACAGAGTGAGACTCCAACTCAAAAAAAAAAAAAAAAAATTAAAAGGAAAAGAAAGTGAGCCAAACCTTCACCCTAAGAAGGTTGAAACCTTAGTTACCTTTTTTTTAATTACTGTGGTTGCTGCTCTTCTCAGTTCAACATAGATCTCAAAACTCAAATGACACCGTTTGCTCCAAATATACTCCTTCAAACTGCCACTAGGAAGAAGAGAGTCTAGCTCTCATTGTAGTCAAGGTATATAATAGCCACTGGTATTCTGGTTATAAAATGCTACTTTAAAAATGCCTCAAAACACAGTGGCTTGAAACAGCAAATATTTTATTGTAACTAATAATTTCATCATTATATCAGTCAGAAGTTTGGATCAGGCTTGACTGGGTAACATTTCAGCTCTAAGTGTTTCCAACTTAAGAAACCCTTTGGTACTCAGTTAGCAGAAGCATGAGTCTGAAGTGTTTAGGATGGCCTCACTCACATGTCTATGGCATTGTTGAAGGTGACTGGAGGCCTGAACCCATTTGTGAATGTCAACTAAAGTGCCTACACCTTAGGTCTTGTGTCTCCAGCATGATAGTCTCAGGGCAGTTGGTCTTCTTACATGACAAATTTGAAACCCCAAGGAACATTCTTAGCCTGGTATTTTCTATTCCCATGTCTTTGTAAGCACTTAGTCAATGTCAGTTAACTCCAACTTTCTTATACTTACCTTGGATCCATACTTTTTAAAGTTCCACAGCATAACTCAGAGTTTCATTTTTCACCTATATTTTGTTTCAGTTCATCTACATGTGAGAGGTTACCACCTTCCTATTTATTACAACTGGTAGAGCCATTATGATTCTCGGACATAGTGATCCAATCTAAAATACTACCATGTGGACTGGCTTGCTAGGACCTCCATTACCACTTGTCTTAGTTTGAGCCCTCCTAAATTCAGAGCCTGAAGCAAAGGCCTGAGTGAAAGGAGATGTATTTTATTTTGAAAAAAATGTTTCTTGGAGAAAAAAATAAAGGGCTATTATAGAGGATCAAAGAAGTAAAACAGGGAAGGAGGCAAAGCCAATAAAAGAATTAGTTATTGAGCTTGTCATCACTGGGGGTAACTGCTATTTCAACTCACCAGTAGTCTCTAAAACACCTTATTAAATGCATGTAAGAATGGAACACACACACAAACAAGGAAAAAACATTTTCTCATTGGCTTCCATTATTATGAATGTTAACTTTCTCATACTTCTGTGTTGTACATGAAAAAGTGTTGAGCAAACTTTTACTGAAATGCCACACTGTGGAAATATCAAGGATATAAAGTACCAGTCCAAGAAGAAGCCAACGTATGAAAAGTGTGTAAAGCTGCAGAAATGTTGAAGACAGCAGAGGCTGTAGTAAGATATGACCAAGGGAATTTTGATTGTACAAGAGGTCTTCAATATACCTAAGAACCTCAACTAGGGTATGAAATTATTTGACTGTTCTAATTTCAATGTTTCGGCTTTCCTATTTTTGGGGTATGAAAATACGTTTATTTTACTTTTAATACTAAATAATGTTTAATATTAATCAGAATTCTTAGTTGATTTTTTAATATGTATATATACTTCTTTTTATAGATTTGGGGATACAAGTACATGTTTCTTACACGCATATATCCTGTGATGGTGGAGTCTGGGCTTTTAACATACACGTCACCTGTAATAATGAACATTGTACACAATAGGTAATTTTTCAACCCTCACACCCCTCCGATTTTGTAGTCTCCAATGTCTATTAACTATAGAAAAAAACCTGAAGACATATTACTGGAGATTAAAAGTACTAATGTGAAACACTCTCCATTGACGGATTTTTAACAGTTCAACTTGTCATCAATTTTGTGTCAAGGTAGAAGGAGCCTGCAGTAAGGCTACCAGAATCTTGGGCAATGGTGAATGGTTTACTTGGTTGCCCTCAGCTTAGTGGGAACACAGCTGGAGGATCAGAAATAAGGAGGCCCATGGGTGAATCTACAGAGTGAGCATATAAAGTGTGTGGATCTTTATGTTTAATATCAATGTCCACCAGGAAGTATATATCTTAGAGATACATTGAACAATCAGTGGGCTCCAATGACCAACTGAGTAGATTTGATCCAGGTTTTGTTCTCAGTTACCCAGTGTTCGCACACAGTGGATACGGAGGCAGAGACATAATCATGGAACAGACTCATCAGTTTGGGCTCCCTGTCACCAAGGCTCATC